CATGACCCAACGTTAGCATTTTCAATTGATTTTGCACTGGGAAGCCCACATTTGCAATCCCAAATCCCTTCCACTATCTAAAATGGCATCTAATGCAATGCAGTGTTGGAGAAGCTTCTTTAAGTGTAACCTGCCAATGTACTCAATATTTAAAGCAATAGTTTCCCAAAAATTCTGTCATCATTTACTCACCCTCAAGTTGTTCTAAACCTGTATGAATTTCTTTCTTCTATTGAGCACAAAATAATATATTTTGATTGTTGATGTTGGTAACCAAACCATTTCTACCATCAACCATTTCTGAATGACAGAATTGTCATTTTTGGGTGAATTTTCCCTTAAACTACAGTAAAGATTGCAAAAACACGTTTCTGTTTTTGCAGCTCCTTTCTTTGTTTGTGTTGTGAGCATTTGCAGCGCGTTTCTGTTTTTGCAGCTCCTTTCTTTATTTGTTTGTGTTGTGAGCATTTGCAGCACGTTTTTGTTTTTGCAGCGCGTTTCTTTATTTGTTTGTGTTGTGAGTATTTGCAGCACGTTTCTTTATTTAGTTGTGTTGTGAGTATTTGCTGCGCTTTTCTTTATTTGGTTGTGTTGTGAGTATTTGCAGTGCGTTTCTGTTTTTGCAACGCGTTTCTTTATTTGGTTGTGTTGTGAGTATTTGCAGCACGTTTCTTTATTTGGTTGTGTTGTGAGTTTTTAGAGCGCGTTTCTTTATTTGGTTGTATTGTGAGTATTTGCAGTGCGTTTCTTTATTTGGTTGTGTTGTGAGCATTTGCAGCACGTGTGTTGTCAAATTGATGAAGTTGTTGTGAGCATTTGCAGCGCGTTTTTGTTTTTGCAGCACGTTTCTTTATTTGTTTGTGTTGTGAGCATTTGTTGTCAAATTGATGATGTTTTCTTAATTTGCAGGTGTTTTTTCTATTTGCATGTGTTTTTTCATTTGCAGCATGTTGAGCTCTCTCGGCCACCGTACTTTTATGAGAGGCAATATATTTTAAAACATATAACTATCAAATTATATGAATTATAATATAATCAGAGTATTTCGCTCAAAAACAATGAGGGTTTGCGAATGAATCTGAAATAGAATGATATATTCATGTTCATTTGAAGAAAATAAAATTTTCTAAATCAGGATTATACCGAAAAATAATAAATAATAAATAAATAAATAAATTGTTAACTGAAATAAAATAAATTATTAAAAAGCTAAATCTTAAACAAAATATTAGACTTCTCTAATCATTTAGTCCACTTACACCAGGGGTGTCCAAACTTTTCCTAAAGGGGGCCGGATTCGACGATGTGGAAACACTGGGGGGCCGGATGCTTCTACCTATATATATATATATATATATATATG